CAGATATCTTAGTAAAATTCACTTCCGGTCGCGTGTTTTACTGTCCGTAAAATGAGAATTTTTCTGAGCCAGATCTCGGAAACGGTAAGAGATTAAGACACCAAACTTTTATGAGTAATAGATCTTGACGAGTAAGCAAAACCATTTGGAGAAAGAACGTCAGTCGTCACTTCCGGTCGTCACAGGAAGTGATCAAAGAAATCAAAAATTTCAACTTTTCGTTTTTGAAACTTTTTTTGCATCACTTTATTGCATCTTATTTGTCGTTTCGAAATATGTCAGTCCCACTGGAAACAAAACGACAACTTCCGGTTATAAGAGAAAAACCACATAAGTTGAGTATTATACTTTCCCATAAATATCTCTTATAGATAATTAATTTGAAATGATTTTTAGATATTTTATTCAGACTGCAAATGTCTAAAGTATTTTTAGATATCTTTGTAAAATTCACTTCCGGTCCTGTGTTTTTCTGTCCTGAAAATGAGAAGTTCTCTGGGCGAGATCTCGGAAACAGTAAGAGATTAAGACACCAAACTTATACGAATAATAGATCTTGAGGAGTAGACAAAACATATATGGTTAAACGCGTCAACCGTCACTTCCGGTCGTCACAGGAAGTGATAAATATCAAAAATTTTAAGTTTTCTTTTTAAAATTAAAACTTGCATCACTTTATTGCAACTCTTTTGCTGTTTTCTGATATGTTAGATTCCACCGGAAACAAAAACCTAAGCTTCCGGTTTTATGAGATCGACTATGTTATTTCTATGTTTAACTGTCTCATAAATATCACTTAGAGATACAGTATTTGAAATGTTTTTTTATATATGTTGTAGATACTACAAATGTCTAGAAGAATTTCAGAGATTTTTAAACAATTCATTTCTAGTCGCGTGTTTTCCTGTACTCAAAATTAGAATGTGTTCTCAAAATTGCTTGACAACAGTAAAAGACTGAAGTCTAAAACTTTCAGGACTGATAGTAAATCATCAGTTCAAATGCATCGTGTGAAATCGTGTGTCGCCATTACTTCCGATCGTGACAGGAAGTGATACAAAAAAGTGAATTTTTGCAAGTTGTTTTCTTTCTACATTAGTTTTAGGATAATACCGAAGTTAGAAAGGACATGTCCACGCAAATTATATCCGCTAAAAGTAGCCGCCAAAAAACCGCTAAAAACACTGTGTTACATAGGCGACTCCCAACAGGAAGTGGTATAACGGAAGACCTTCTCATTACTAGTAATGAGTTTCTAGTTATTATTCTTTTTTCTTCTTATTTCTTCTCCGGTACTTTTTTGTCCGCGAGTGTTCTTGGAAACTGCTCATCCAATTGAGTTAAAACCTTTTTAGGGTTAATAGGCATGTTATGTAGATTTGCGGAACAAAGGTCATTTTGCGCGCACGTGCATGCACGTGCGTGCGCGTGCAATGGGTAAAATGACCAATATACTTGATATAGCTGTAATTTTTATATTTTTTGGTGAAATGCTTTGATACTCAGAATATAAGGATATATTA